GCGGGTCAGCAGTTGCGAATTCTTTCCAAGGAAAGCCATTTCGGAGTAGGGTGCTTCGGTGTAATATGGCATGATGATCTTGGTTGCTGGAGACATGCCGAAAAGACATCAAGAAGTGCTCGCCAACGCCTTTGACTCTTACGGAGGGCCATAGGAAATTTCGAACCATTTATCTTTTCGCAACTGTTGCACGACTCCATGCGGCCCAATGCGCAATACGCGATTCAAGTTTGACGTCTCTCGTGCAAACACGATATTGATACTCTTGAACCTGCACAACGTAGAGCGGCAAATTCGTTAGTGGTTCGTTTCACCTCCTCTAACAATACTGATTGCAAGCGCTGGGACTGTAAGGCGGTGAAAGTTGGCGTTGGGGAGTAGACCTCATCATGGTTTATGCAATACTGGCGAATCCTCATTGCGTCTGTCGTGCTCCGTTGCAAATTAGCCACAAGACTAACCTGAGAATCCACCAGCTCAAACAGACCACGTACTACAGTCGACGTGTTTGCCGACAAAACGTTTTCTTTCTTCAGGTAGGCGGAACCTCTAGCGTACTTCAAACTCAAGTTACTTTGCTCCACATCCAAAGATAACTTGACTATAACCTATCCCATTTACAAGGTCAACCTCGTTTAACTAAAGGTGTTATAACCTCGTGCTTTTCCACAAGCCGGAGTTCGATGATACATTACCTTAAGTACGCTACGATCACGATGTCGAGGATTTACAGTGTCTAACTGACAGTCTTCTCGACGCTGATGTGGACTCGGTAAAACTTGGGCAAATTTTCAGTCTTGGAAAGCGAGTTGATCAACAAAATCGGCATATGAGGATCACTTTGGTGGATGAAGACAGTCCAAGATTGATTATATCTCGCCTAAGTAGGCTGAAAATTTGAAGTTCCATGTTCGTCCAGATCTGGCTCAAGTCTGCCATCACTGAGCTGAAAATACGTAAATTTTCGTGTGGTTTCCAAGAATCCGCGAAGCAGGGTAAAAAGGCTGCTCGCGCTTCAACACGCCCGGCAGCTCCTGCTGCGGCCTGCGAGTAGCCTTCACAAACGTTTGCAGTATTATGAATAAGCGCGATGAGCTTTGTCGTTTCGTTTCTCATGAGTGGCCAGAGGTATTGGAACTCGCAGAGACATGGCTGCATTCAGTTATACAACCAGGAACTTGTGTTCAACGGCTACGCATGCTTCCGATGCGATAGACTAACGAATCTCCCGTGATGTCTTGCTTTACATCCGGTCTTCCTTGCGTGGGTGACTTGTGAGCACCTACCGAAGGGACGATGGCCTGTGTGAGCTACCGTGCTGCTCCATCCTCCTCAGGCGCAGAGAACTACTTGTGGGTGCAGTTTATCGCTTCCCCCGACTCGTTGTTTAGATTGTCTGCCCCAGCTTCCAACCCTCATGATTCTTCCACACTTTCTACTTTTATGCGATTTTAGCTGTCTTTGCATACTATGGCCTGATGTGCATCTGATGCCTGAATATAAGTAGGTTGAAGCAAAGTTCGCGGATTTGGTATTTGAAACTGGTGCATCGCAACACATATGCCAGCCAACACGCATAACACCACGCTTAACCCCTTCCTGTCTCGACCTGATGTTTACGAGCTACTAACAACGAGTGCGTGGCATTCTTATCTTGGAGTCCGTGGCTACATTCGACCACTCAGTGCTCCTAGCTGCTATGCTATTACCTTTGATCTATTCACGTCCCCTGGAACCAGGTTACAACTACTGGAAAAGGGACTTCGACGGTCTAGCTCAAACCACGAGCCAACTGGATTGGTCTCTGCCACAGGCTGCATCGGTGGAAGACTGTTGGGTATTTACAAAAGAGGGATCGACATCATTATGTTCCCAATTTGTGCCCTTGAAATGTCGGAAGGTTGGACCGACTAAGCCTCATTGGTTTGAAAAGGGGTATGGAAATCTGGCTCGGAGGCAGTGCAAACTGTGGCGCAGCTTCCTCCTCTCTGGCCCTGTCAATGTCTATGAAGCCTATAAAAGTCAGCGGAACATTTGCAACAGTGCAAAAAGCAATAAGCGCCGACATTTCGAAGAACAGCTCGTAATCGCTGCTAAGACCGCCTCAAAGAGAATCTTGGCTTACGCGAATCGACGCGGTGATGTGCCAATGTTGGATCACCCGAATGGACAGCCCCTAATCTCCAGCACTGAGAATGCGTCCGCGTTGGCGGCGAACTTCGCTTTCGTATTTGCAAATGACCAGGTGTCAGTTCCGAGTTCGACGTGTACCGTATCGAAATCGACAGTCTGGATTGCGGCTTTGAAGAGTTGTTTTAACTACTCGCAAGTCTTGACGGCACCAAACCTGCCAGACCTGTTGGGCTTTACCCACTGATGCTGAAATCACTTTTGGTCATCATTCTTCTTGTCGTGTCTGACCTTTCCAACAGGTCGCTGTCCGATGGTTCGTTGCCTCTCGACTGGAAATTTGGAGAGCAATTGACGATCCGGACGACCGTGGCGTACTTCAGCAAGACATCAGTCGCCTATCCACATGTTCTGCTGAAGTTCATCTCCCGGTTAACTCAGTCAAGTTTGTATTTATGAGCCTGCGGAAGGGTGATAACGGCCGAACCTACACAGTTGACTGCAAACCGCTGTATCCCACACCCTCCTTGAAGGCGTTAGGTGTACTCTTTTGCTACGACTTGAAGTTGGTGGACAACACGAACAGGCTATATCGTAACAGATTGTGCATGCTTTGGGCGATCAAACGTGACTTAGGCACATGGTCTGATGAGGTTGCCACTCGCCTCTTCTTTTCCATCATTAGACCAATGCTAGATTATGGTTCGCCTGCGTACTTACCGATTACCCGAAGCGAGGCACAGAAGATCGAACGGGTCCAACACGTTGCTACCAGGCGCATCCCGAGTTTACCTAGCTTGGAGTATGAAGACCGATGCGAGAAACTAGGACTCTATACCTTGTCCTACCGTCGGATGCTAGTCGACTTCCCTATGAACTACCGCAGTCTACATCTCAGTGATTTCTCAGTGCGCTTACGAGGGTCATGCAGCACACGCGGACACAGGTACAAACTTGTCGTACCGGATGGGAAACGTGTTCCCCACCCACTATGCTTCGGATGGAGAGTGGTAAATATTTAGAACAGTTTGCCTGAATATGTAATGTAGGCAACATCTGTGCAGCAGTTCAAAACCTTGTTTGAGTTATATTGTACCACTGTTCGATTCAGAGTACGATGGCACACCTTCGATGACAGGTCGCATTTGTGAGTCCGATATTTTATAGGTTACATAAGGACGCTAACGATATTCACGTCTGACAATTTTTACCGTGTTTTGCCAAATTTTGAAAGAATTGTACATAATTCACTTCTACTTGCTCTGTAATACAGTATTCAGTGGTATTCATTTCGCGAATAGTCCGTTCCAGTGGGAAGGCGAAATGACACGAACTAGAATGCACACTAGCCCTCTGCGTAACTCATCGGTGCGGAGACCAGCAGATGCGTTCATGTGAATAACTTGCTGAGTCGCTTAATAGCCAAAACTTTCATTTTTCTCTCGTTTTGAACAGTGATTGAGTAATCCTCACTGCGGTCATCCTAGGGGACTTGTCACCTAATGGGTGTTGTTCATTTTGGAGCAGATAGATGGTATTGCTGTACCTTGTGTGCGCATCTTGCAAACAAGGATTGAGGGTAATCTTATACATATTTCCACAAGTTTTTATGTATGCTACATATCATAGTTCGGTTTCCATTTACGACGCTTCACATTTTATTTACCAGCGGAACAGCTGATATGCGGCACATGATTCGGCTGGGTTTTAGTAGATATTTCTAAGGTATTCACTCATGTCAGTTCGCAATCTTTTAGCAGCTATCCTAAAGTTTACTAGAAGAAAAATGCATCATATCTTGAAATAATTGTACTGATGAATATTGCACTTTATATGTAACAGGTTTAGAAGCTGCTACCTGGGACTCCCCAGACCGATATATAACAGCACAAAGGAACTGGTACTGGTCCTTTCCATTTTATTACGGCTTGGTAGATGGAAAAAATTATTTACTTAAAGACCTACATAACTAAGATTGACAGTCCAAAAGTCTTCATACTACTATCCCTGATCACTTCCTTGAAGAATGGTATCTAAAAGATTTAAGCTGTTGTTGATATCAACTTAATTAAGCGGACCTGATTAAGCAGATGTTGTTAACAGCATAGACATAAATAAATTGAGTCACATCCTTGGAACAGATGGAGTTAATCAACGAGGACCTAAAACAGTCAGTGACGTAAACTAAACTTTGCCACTATGCACTCTAATGTCCAACATGTGTGCTTCACACAAGGTGGCTCAAAATATATCCCATTGCCTAGGTAATTCAGCACATGTATCCAGTGGTGTTCCCTTTGCCATGAAGACGGGTTTCAATCATGCATTTTTGGGAACGACTTGCTAAGTTCTGAGCGAGTATTGTGCGCAAATGTATAAAATGCGTGTAGTCACCAATGAAACTTTACGGAAGGTGTCGGAATACACCAGCGTTGCATTGAATACGATGTTTATGACAAATAGATAGGCGGCAGAACTAAATGTCTATGCAACACAATATGGGTCTCTTTCAGGTCCAGCATTTCTTATTTTGCACTGTAAAATCATACAAGGTACTCTGTATTTAGGCTGTTTTCATACAATTAATTTGTGCTACTTTTTACTTAAGACAAGAATAAAACTTAGTCTGGTGATTTTGCTGAAGTACTTATGCGCATTCCACCATTTAGTCCAATTAGTGGGCGTAATGCTTCAAACATTATAGAGCTTAGTTACTATTCCATTCCGAAACAGTTGTAGAGTATTGATTGTCCACCCAATACAGACCCGCTTTTTTGCCTCGCATTTGGTCTCATACCTTACATTAGATAACCCAGTAATGGACTGATATTCCCGAACAAAAGTTGTTTTCCCAAATTTCCATTTATCAGATCGATTTGGAGATTATCAACAGCGGTCAAGATTTGCGAATGGAAATTTCCCACCTATCACCTACGGTAATGCTTACAGGCGGCCCATTGTCCTACGAATACAAAATATTTGGGGCCCTGTTGAAGTTTGGAGCAAAATCAGAACGTGGATCCGATCACCTTATCGATGGTGTGGCATTTCCAGCGGAGGTAAACAGCCTTGAATATTAGCAAACGCTATTTGATGAAACTTAAATGTTTATGTGTTAGGTGAGCGGTGTTTACTGGAAGCAGAAAACCTCTACAGTTGGAAAGTAAAAGAATGTCATCCATTGCCTGGCGCGTTTCATCCGTGGCTTTATCACATGTGACACCGTGGTGCATGCTACTTAATTTGCTCCGGACAGCCGTGTAGTCGGTTTCGTTTGTTGGATACGTTCCACCTAGGGATCGTATACAGATTGTCGGCAACTGTACAAAATTAATAATTCTTCATTCATTAACCTTGATCTTCAGTGCCGGAGTGATATCCTTGTGTTCCTCAAGATTGTATATAGTCAATGCAAATCAAAGACCGATTAGGGGATGGCGGAGGTGCTTGTGTAATGGCGGGAAGTTATTACCTGCAGACTTTAACTTTTCACCCATATTAAATGTTACGTTGTCAGAAATAGATAGAACTGTCACAGTTCTGGCCTGGTGGAAGGATTTCAAGGAGATTTTCCAGATGACAAGCAAGATGCCTGGATAACCGGACGAGTTCATGTGTAACAATTATTGCAACAATGGAACCATGGTGTATTACTGGTAAAAAAGCAATGTTTAACAAGTCCAGTTGGGTGGAAAGTGTTGCGAAAATAAAATTACATGATAAAGTGAAAAGCGTTTTGGTGGACTCAACGTAGACTTATGTAGAATGGCGAAGATTTGGGTTGGGAGTTTGGTAATACATCGCCGAATTGCGTTTTGTAACCCTCTGGCTAACAAGTTGTAAAATGGAATGCTAATGAGACAACGCGTCGTCAATTCGTCTTTTAAATATCGCCTGGTTGGGAGCAGAGACTACCTAATTAGGGAGGGCGTTCCAAGACTGACACACTCAGAAGGAAATGAAATTTCGACGACATTCTAGCCGGCTATACTGTATTGTCAATTTCAGAGAATAACTTCCTAGGTTACTGTTGTGGTTCAATTCCAGCAGCGGAGGATAAACGTGGTTTGGGTTCTTCAGAATCTGGTAAACCATATTGAGATCCAACCGCAACCGCCGATATCGACTTCCATACGTTCTTAGAAATTTCAGTGCACTGAAGGGCAGATGACAGAGGCTCCTGACACCCTTGCTTCCTTTTCGTTGAGGAGTCTCGAGATCAACGAGATCTTGTTTCTGTCACGACTGCCACACCCGGATAGCATATTCCAATTGCGGTTGTACGAAGGTGCTAAGCAGTCTTGGGACGATTGAAGATTCAAACGGACCGAACGCCCTGCGAACGAGGCTGAAGTGTTGATTCCCGGTTCAAGACGCTTTTTTTGCTCGTTTTAAACACCCAAGATCTTCCTGTATCGGTACACTCAGGTCACACTCCTGAGAGGCTTCCTGTAAAATGTGCTCCCCAAGCTTGTAAATGCTCACCGGCTGGGGACGCAGATCCATCCCTTGCAATTAGCTATGTTCAACTGAAGCATGTACCTTGCTGACCATTCATAAATGCAATCTAGGTCATGTCGGAGTAAATCATGATCTTCATGGTTACTGATCCCAGCCATACCTTGACATTATCGGCGAAAATCAGAAAATTTGAGGAGATACCTCTTGCCAGGTCGTTGCTAAGCACTAGGAATAAGCACGGCCGCAGCACTGAGCTCTGTGAGACACCACATTTCACTTTCATCGCGTTAGAGAGTAATCCCCTAACATGCAGTTTTTAGACCTCCGTTGGTGGAATAAGTTGTTAGTCCCACCAAGAACAAGAAATCCGATTCCGTAGTTCTGTAGCCTGTGTAGTAGGGTGCGGTGCTCCAGGCAATCGAAGGCTTTGGAGAAGTCCCCAACTCCGACTGCATCGTCATTCACTTCCGTCCAACTACCTCGTGCAGTCAGCAAGTTGGTGGCGCATGACCGGTGTTGACGGAAGCCATGCTGCTCCAGTGCCAAGAGGTTGCACCTTTCCAGGTAGCCTATTAATGCCTCAGCAACGATCGCTTCCATGACCTTCGCTAGCACAGGGAGAAGACTCACTGAACAATAGTTCGCGGGCACTGTACGGCTACCGTCTTTAAAACCTGGGGAGCTAATGCCGCGCTTCCATCGAAGCACCGTTGGGATAACAGTGACAGTGATTCAGCTAGCTTGGTGACGGCAAACTTCAGGGCTTTCGAGCGGGTGTTGTCGGCTCCCGGAGAGAGTAACTTTCATACGCAATTGCTAAGTTGAAAATTACATGTGCAAACTATGGAGTCGGTATTGTGCGTGACATTATGGGACAGGTAGAGGCCGTGAGCTCGAAAATTGTGGCGTATTGAAGCCGCAAGGCATTGGCTGCTTCTTCGGCGCTTTGTACGCTATCGCCTGTTGTGACAAGTGGAGGTATGCCGTGGTTCACTTCACGAAGATTGTCGATATGCCCATAGAGCAGTTTGTTGTTTGCCAGGAAAATTTTAGCTATGCACTGTTAACAAGTTACGTTTTACACCGGACAACTGCAGTGCAATGGCTGCTGTGAGTCAGGAAATTGCCCCAAGTCTTTGAGTCGGGGTTAACCTTCTAGTCACGCCATGCTGCATCCCATTATCGCCGTTCATATTCGAGTCCCGTTTCTTAGAACTGGAGGAATTTTTGCAGGACGAAGGGGTTTAGTCTATTTTGCTCTGTTGACGATGTCTAGGAGTCTTTCAACTAACTCTATCCAAATGTTGTCAAGGGGGCTGTTGTTTAGAAATTCCCATGCGGATGCGCCGAGAAGTTCTTTCAAGTTCCTAGCTTTCAGATGGATACACTGCATAACACGCGCGTACAGTGCTTTTCCGGGCGTGTGGCCGGTGTCTGAGTGAGCCTAGATGGGACGAATTTCTACCTATAACATTCAACTCCCCCTACTACTCTTCTGTAATCAGTACGCAGTCCAAACTGCTTGCAATGCCATAAGTAATTGGCGGCTTACTTTTGGTAAGCTCGTCGCTTGGTGAGGGACTACCCTGTCCTCTGCACGGCAGTAACGTGTAAATCAGTGGATAGTGAGCGGCGCTATATCACATCTAGTAACTTATTCAAGATGGTTGTTACCGACCCCCCCTTAGCTCAGTGGTCTCAACCACGGACTGGCAACAGTCGAGTTGCGGGTTCGAGCCCTACCAAGGGTCCGATGGAATGCGCACTGCTGATGATTCCCGAAAGGATGAACCGCGCGTACAGTGCTTTTCCGAGCGTGTGGTGGCACTCTGAGTGAGTCTAGATGTGACGAATTTCTACCTATACCATTCAACTCCCCTTCTACTCTTATATAACACATATTGTTGAACGCTATTAATACATGGTCGCTGAGAACTAATGGACTATCCAGCAATAACTTGTCAACCATGAGCTCTTCATTCGGAAGCACGAAGTGCACGATCGGCGGTTTGTTTGCTGTCCTCAATGTAGTAGGCGTGTTGACGTGATTTTGCAATGGAATACTAATGATAAGTTCATACAATCCTGCTTTGAACAATTCATTGGGTGATGCCGATAGCTCCAGATCCTGTAGGTTGAAATACCAGGAGATGAGAATGTGGCGGTACCTAGTGCGTGTTACTCTGTTCAGGCCACGTATCAAGCGGGAATCCATTTCTGGAGTGGACGTTGGGGGGGGGGGGTAAATGACAGCTACGAGACATGCGTCGTTTAGTCGGAGACCGCAACAGGCTATCGGTAAGGTGAGTTTCTAGATCAACAACTATTGCACCTTGCAGGTTGCTGCCATAGTAGAGAAGCACCCCACCTGCTCTGTTGGGACAGCCATTCCGGATGAGTGACATTCCTGTTATCTCAACCTCATCATCAGTAACCACTTGGTTCAACTATTTTTCGGTAATAGAAATTAGGTCCCAGCATTGACAACGTGACGTAGTGGAAGTTCGTAGTTTTACTGAGGAGCCCTTTGGTGTTACGGCACATAATGGTTTACCAGATTCTGAAGAACCCAAAGCACATTTGCTGTCCGCTGCTGGAATTGAACCACAACACTAAACTAAGAGGTCACCCTTTGAAACTGACAATTCAGTATAGCAGACAATACAGTATAGCAGGCTTGAATGCGGTAAAAATTTCTTTTCCCTCCGCGTGTGCCAGCCTTAGAATGCCGTCCCTAAGTATGTCGTCTCTGCTCACAATTTGGCGATATTTAAAAAACGTGTTGACGATGCATTGTCTCACTTACATTTCATTTTATGACTTGTTAGCCAGGGGCTACAAAACGTAATCGAACGGTGTCTTGCCAAACGCCTAACCAATGAATTTATGGATTTATACGTTTAGTACGCGAACGTCTCCGTTATTCTACATAAGTATATGGTGATTCCACCACAACGCTTTTCACGTTATCATGCAATTGATTTTCGCAATAATTTCTATCCTACGGGACTTGTTAAGTAATACTTATTTACCCGTAATAAACCATTGCTGCATTGTTCCATTCTCAGATTTAAGTAACGTTTCTGAGGTTGTACAAATCCTACGTGAAGTTTTGCCGACCAGTAGGTGGCCAGCGACTAACTGTTCTTTTGTGTGTACTTGGCGAAGGGTTCGAGGTCTTATCCATCGTCTGCTTAATTAGTCCCTTGTCTAATCTTCTACGTACAGTGTAAGGTGTCTGGTCAATATCATCATCTATAGGTTGTATGGGCTCATTCGACACACTACTGGTGCATTGTTCTTACATAGATCCAATCGCGTTTGATTCTTTGAGTAAAATATCAGCTCTGTGAGACATATCACTGACTGTTTTCAGCCGAAGCTCAGATGGTAGCCTACAACGTAACATGTACCAGGTTTTTAGTAGTCGTGTTACCATATGTTTTGGCTGAAGAACCACCTTCAACACTATCGGTCCACTTCCTTTGTAGCTCGGTGAGGTACGCAGCCGTGGCACAGATTTCGATAACTTATTATCCATTCAGAGTGTTTCACCAATATAACACCACTGTTCTTTACCATGAGTTATTATTTCATG